AGAGAAAGAAAGAAGACATCCCAACCGGCTTCTAAGCTTTAAGAATCTAGTTTAGGCCGGGCACGGTGGCTCAAACCTGTAATCCCAGCACTTTGGGAGGCCAAGGCGGGTGGATCACGAGGTCAGGAGATCGAGACCATCCTGGCTAACACGGTGAAACCCCGTCTTTACTAAAAATACAAAAAAACTAGCCGGGCGAGGTAGCGGGTGCCTGTAGTCCCAGCTACTCGGGAGGCTGAGGCAGGAGAATGGCGTAAACCCGGGAGGTGGAGCTTCCAGTGAGCCGAGATCTGACCACTGCACTCCAGCCTGGGCGACAGAGCAAGACTCTGTCCCAAAAAAAAAAAAAAAAAAAAAAAAAAAAGAATCTAGTTTAAAACCCAAGATTACTATTATAAGAGGATACTAAACTATGCAATATCCATTTTGTGGTAGAAATGTGCAAAAAAGAAAGAGCGGTGTCTTGTATTAGTCTATGAACTTGATCTTGAAGAAGGTTTAAGGTTTAATTGGCCAAGAAAATGTACATCTAGCACAGCATTTGGAAAACAGATACTAAGTAACTATTAATTACTTAATTCTTTCCTTTTTTCCTTTCATTTTTGACTCATCTCTTTTTTCCAACAAATGTTTTCTTAGTGCTTATTCTTTGCCTTTCCTAGTTTCCAACACCTATGCACTTTTCCAGTGTACTACATTGCATCTCAAAACCACATTTGAATAAAATGTTTGCTAAAGTCTCTACATCAAATAATTTTTAAATTTACTCAATATTCTCATTAGAGCAGTGTATTATGATATGACTGTCCCAGTCTATTTAGGCTGCTGTAGTAGAGTACCATAGATTGTGTGGTTTATAAACAACAAAAATTTATTTCTTACAGTTTTGGAAGCTGGGAAGTGTAAAATCACACCAGCAGATTTGGTCTGGTGAAGGCCCACTTGCTGTTTCATAGACACTCGACTTCTCACTCTGTCCTCACGTGCTGCAAGGGGCAAGGATGCTCTCTGGGGTCTTTTTTTTTAAAGGACATGAATCCCATTCATGAAGGCTCTGACCTAATGACCAACCAAAGGCTTTACCTCCAAAACTATCACACTGGGGATTAACATGATTCAACTTACGATTTTGAGTGGAAGGAAATGTTCAGTCTGTTGCAATGATAGTTCACATTAAGTCTTTGTTTAAAAAGAGAAAGCTCGTGTACTTTCTGTTCTACCATATTTTTTTCACTTTTTTGAGCATATACTTTTTTTCGAAATTATGACCTGGTGGTGTTATTCTTTGTTTTATTTGACTGAAAGGACTGATATAAAATGTGTTTCATCTTTGTTGGGTGCATTTAAATTTTATCATACGTCTGTAGGAGAGTTTCTTTCTGTTTTTAAATTGTCTTTATTACTTCACTTACCACTGAGACGGCTCAGAATGAACCAGCATTATCTCATATTGTTCCAAGAGATGCTTGCTTGTCTATTGCTGATGGTTTCTAACAAGCATCAGCTTTATTTCATTTCTTGAAGTTTCACTCTTGAAGTTGAAGTCCTTCATAGACACTTCAAACTTTAAGCTTTTAACCTACCTACTTTTATTCATATATTCCTCACTAACCAAATAGTTTTCCTGTTTTTTGAAAACTAACTGTTTAAAACAGATTTTCTGTCTTTACTTTTCAGGTAGTTTTCCATGGAATGCTGTTTGCTTTCATTTATCTGGCTTTGCAGAAGCGTCAAATACTTTCTGAAGGAAAGGGTGAACCTCTTTTTTCAAACAAAATTTCAAATTTTCTATTGTTTATTTCAGTAGTTTCTTTCTTGGTAAGTTTTGAAAACTTTCCAAAATCCTAAATGGTATGGAATATTAATGTTAAGATATAGAAATATAATCAGTTATTTTTAATAATAAATCTTTTATTGTTTTCTCCTTATTTTTCTTTTTAATATTTAGAAATTTTAATACTTCTCTTCCAGTAATTGATAGGATAGCTAGACAAATTTAGTAAAGCTATAGACTATCTTAAGGACATGATCAATTTGACCTGATGTTAGAATAGTTAGGTAAGCAATAACAGCAGAATACACATTTATCTCAAATGCATGCAAAATGTTTGCCAAAATAAACCATATTTTTATCTATAAAAATACTTTCAATAGTTTTTAAAAATTGTTTATTTTTAATTATGAATACATATTCATATTTATGGGGCGCATGTGATATTTTGATGCAAGCATGCAATGCATAATGATCAAATCAAGGTAATGTTAAATGCTTGAGGCGATGTATATCTCCTTATTTTTCTAACTGGACTTAAATTCTAAAGAGACTGTATATAAGTTAAAAATGAAGAATAAATGAGAGCTCAATTAAATGGGAATTTTTAAAGTTACAGTAAATTTGGGAGAAAATTTAATGTAAAGTGTTTCATATGGAGTGCCATCACTGCCTTTTGATCACTATTTCCAGAAAAGCACAGACTTGTGCACCTCCCTCTGTGCTTTCTTATGTTTGGACAGTTGAACATACCAAAACAGGTGATGAGCAAACTTGTAAGCGGTTTTTACTGATAGTTATATAGCATAATGAAGTATAAAGTTATAAATGAAGAAAACTGTTAAAAAAACAAAACAAAACAAAAAAACACTGTGAGGCTTATGCCTCTTCCAGACTTGTTTTTGTGAACTTTTCCATACATTTTTTGTTTTAGACCTATTCCATCTGGGCTAGCAGTTGTAAAAACAAAGCAGAATGCAATGAACTCCATCCATCTGTTTCTGTGGTGCAGGTACTTATCTTGATTTAGAGAAATTTTTGCATCTTAATTCTTGATAAGAAAATGGTTTTTAGCGGCAGAGGGATTTGAGATTTAACTCCAGAAAATGTAGAGAAGTTACTTCATCTTTCTAAGCCCTTCCTTTCTCTGTAGTAGTAGGGGTATTAAAATCTCTTTCAAAGGGTTCTTGTATTTAATATGTGAAAATGATGTAGCTCAGTATTTTTCACTTAATCTGCCCTTAGAAAACGTTAATTCCCGGCCGGGCATGGTGGCTCACGCCTGTAATCCCAGCACTTTGGGAGGCTAAGGCTGGTGGATCACCTGAGGTTAGGAGTTTGACACCAGCCTGGACAACATGGTGAAACCCTGTCTCTACTAAAAATACAAAAATTAACCAGGCATGGTGGTGGGCATCTGTAATCCCAGCTACTTGAAAGACTGAGGCAGGAGAATCACTTGAACCCAGAAGGCGGAGGTTGCAGTGATCCGAGATTGCATCTTTGCACTCCAACCTGGGCGACGACCAAGACTCTGTCTCAAACAAACAAACAAACAAAAAAACCCAAGAAGTTAATACTACATGCTAGATATTATGCCAAGGGCTGCAGTGGTTACCAAATCAGACATAGTTCCTACTCTCTTGGAGCCTACATTCTTTTTAGTGTTGTACATCTTACACAATACTTTTATTATAATAAACTCATTAAATGGTTTTATGTTTAAAACCTTTGTTTAGGTCTTACCTTCATGATTTTCACCATTTTGTATATCACCTGTACTATTAATTATTTACAGTGTTTCTTTAAATGACTCACAACCTGTGCTATAATTAGTACCTTATGTATGTTTTCTCATTTAATGTTCACATCAACCTTTCAAAGTAAAGCTTATCTCTATTTGTGTGAATTAAGAAAAAGACCCACAAGATTAAGTGCCTTGCCACAAGTCCCAGAACTAACACAAGCAAAAGACGAGATTTAACCTTGAGTCTTTTTGATGCTATTGCCCATGAGAATCACTCAATTATACCTGAGTGGTTCACTTTGGTTCCTTTTTCCCATATTATCTCCTCCTTCTTCATCTTTTATGCATCCTAGAGACTTCTTAGATCCTTTGACAAAATGCCGAAGATGATCAACATTGAATATGAGTTTTTCCCTGAAGTGTGAACAGATTTGTCAATCCTTTTATAAGAGAAAGTTTCTGGAAAGTAGTAGTGAAAGTGGAGATTCTTTTTTTCTTTATAGTTTCTTGCTTTTTTATAAGGAGGGTGGATTCTAAGGAAAGGATTCTTTGCTTGGTAAGCTGGTTATTGGATGTGAGACAATTATTAACATGGCACATGTGTGGATATGTAACAAACCTGCACGTTGTGCACATGTACCCTAGAACTTAAAGTATAATAAAAAATAGTAATAAGAAGAAAAGAAAATGCAAGATTGTTCCACCGAAAATGAAAGATTGTTCCACCTGGTACAGAAGGATAGGGGAGAGGAGTAAAGGCCAGGATCTCAAAAGCTGGAGATTCTTTCGGGAGAGAAAAGATCTAGAGAGGAAAATATCGTACATGTGAATATAGTTCAAGACATCATTTACGAGGCCATGCAGAGCAAACATGAAGACATGTTAAAAGCCATGCCATTTCCCATACTATCATGGCTGTCAGCCAAAGGAGAATTTTGAAGGGAGTCGAGAGAGGGAGTGACTGTCAACCAAGCAGATACTTTATGAGAGCAGCAAAATTATATGATTTTGTGAAGTGTTGCTACATAAATATGATAGCAACTTTTTCTACACAAAGGGCCCTAGGCAAATTTGTAATTTTTTCAGTATACATAAAATTGTTCAGTCATGAACTACTAAAAATGTTCATTGGTATGCAGCATACAGACCATGTGTTGAGAAATCCAGTTTGAGTAGGCTCTAGAACAAAAATAACTTTCTAATACTTTTAGAATATAAAAAGACCATTGTATATGTGTCAAGTTCACAAAGAATAAGGTTATCATTTAAAAGAAAGCTTTATACAAAATAATTTTCAATAAAGAGATTATTAATATTTGCCTTTGTGCTTTTTCTTTAGATTTTAGCCTTCATCCTAATAAGGAACATCCCTGGATATGCCCGTTCAGTTTACAGTTCATTTTTTGCTTGGTTTGGAAAAATTTCATTAGAGGTTGGTACATTAATATTTTGCTTATCTTACACAGCCAGGTGTTACATGTTTGTGTATGTACATGTGTATATGTGTAAATATCACACATATATATGTGAGTATGAAAATCAGACATACTTTTTTCTAAACCAAAGCTATTATGGAATTACAAGGAAAAGACAGAACTTTCAACAATACTGAAGTATTTTTGAATGTTTTTAAGCCTTATTTTTAAATGACTAGATATAGATTACTTGCAAAGTATTATTTACATTGTCTTGAGCTTTCAAGCACAACCAAGATGCTGAGATCAAGAGAGAAAAATATTAGACCAGGTATATAAATGAAATCAAGCTGAGGGGATTTTGATTTTTTGTTCATCTCCGTAATTAAATGTTTACTGGAATTCAGTTTATTGATGCACACCATAATAAAATTTATCCTTATTATGATTGGAAATCGTGGGAGAAAGTATAAACTCATTACATTTTGTGTAAGATGCATTATATGAAATTATTTACAAAATCAGTTTGAACAGTAGATTTTGAAATGTATTCTGAGTAGTCCAAGCCTTATTATTTCAAATAGAATGTTTTAAAACAATTTATATTGTAATCATAACATATATTTTAGAGTTTTTAGAGTATAAGATTTATTAAATTGTCTCATAAATAGGGAAAATAAATTCCTCTTTGAGTTCTTGAATAATTGTTCTATTATTTTCTTTGGTCTCATTTATAAGAGAGATTGTATTAGCAGTTGGAGTTCTAAGGAGTAGACTGCAGTGGACTTTTCAGGGCCAATAGTGAGACAGAATAAAATGGTTTTAGGAAAGCCTTCTAATGTTACTATGCGATCAAATGTTTAAATTAGGAAAAACTATAATTTATTCGTGGACCCTCTATAAATATCTGACTTAAATATTTTTTCTCCTAGCTGTTTATTTGCCAGTATCACATATGGCTGGCAGCGGACACAAGGGGTATCTTGGTACTGATACCTGGAAACCCTATGCTCAACATCATTGTCAGCACTTTCATATTTGTTTGTGTGGCACATGAAATTTCTCAGATCACTAATGATCTTGCACAGATTATTATTCCTAAAGATAACTCATCTCTCTTGAAAAGGCTGGCATGTATAGCTGCATTTTTTTGTGGACTCCTCATCTTATCATCCATTCAAGATAAATCAAAACATTAGGTTCCAAAAATTCTAAAAAACCTAAACTCTTCAGGCTTACTTTGTGTGTCTCTAGAAGAGAAAAGCATCTATCTGGAGATATAAATGTATATGTAAATATAAACGTTTGTGGCAAGAGGACAGTTCTGTGATATCTGTTGAACATGTGTGGTTGTATATATTAGAAATGTACATATCCAATGTGAAATACTAAACAAACAAAAAACCGGAATGCATTGTATAGAACTGCATGTGAAGTCTTTTCTACTGAATCTATATTTCCATTTGTAAATGATTTTAAGTTAACATATGAAGGCAGGGAAATGATTACCTTTCCAGTAAAGAATATAGATAATTTAATTAACTTAGTGACACCACCGAGTGTTTTGATATAACTAAATTTGTGGTAATAAGACTGTCTGCACCTATATTCATCGTGGAACTTCCTATTTCATTGGAAACTTTCTTACTCAAGAATGACGGCAGTATTGCTTTCTTATATGTGCAATGAAGTGGAATGATAAACAGTATGCCTTTAATTTATATGTGTTCTTGTTCTGATGTTATGTTTTCTGAAATGATTTTTCTTCCTAACTGTGGTTTTCAGGTATGCAAGCCGAAATCTTTGTACACTTTGCCTCACAGAATAGTTCTGAGGCTCCAGTACAGGGTTTTGTCATTGTTGATGTTATTGTTGCTTCTTTTTATAAAAAGCCAAAATTTTTTTTCCAATCCAAACGTTCACCTGTTTCCTTTCCTCAAGCTATACCAGTGTAATACCAGTTACCCTGTGGATCCATTTAATATGTTATCCCCACTAATTAATTTTCGTATATTATTTCCAATATTTGGAAAACTCTTTATAACCATTTGGTATTTCCTATTACCCACCTCCTATTTTACATATTTATCAGTCTAAACTTGTACAGTGTAGTAAACATGCAAGTTGTTATGATTGGGCTGTATTACCGTAAGTAGAATTTTAAGTAAACTGGTGAATTTGGTCAATAAATGTTTTTGCTTTTTTTTTTTTTCTTTTTACAGGCTGTTAGAGGTATACATTTATTTATCTGTTGTACAGATTTGATTATGATTTTAATGTTTGAAAGATTGCACTTGTTTGCTTTTACTATGTGTGGGGTAAAATATATTTTCTGTTCACAGTATATGAAAATATGGAGTAATTTAAACAGTAAATAAACATTCTGTGGATGCTTATTTTTGTATTGGCAAAGTATCAATTAAACTCTTTGTGTTCTTTTTCAAAAATGCTGAATCCATTAATGATTGGTTCAAATATCTAATTTATTTCCTCAACTTAAATTTGCTTTTTAAATTGCTTAGTATGTAGGGGTAGATTACCAAATGATAGTTGAATAAAGAATCATTTAGTTATCAGAGCTTCAGAGGGTCATCTGCTTTCCACCAAGGAAGTTTAAGCATTATGGTTCATTAGTGATTTTGCTTGAAGATTTTAAAAATGTAATTTATTTAGCACTGCATTTATGTGCTACTGATATACCTCCATTAATTGAGGAATATTTCTTGGACAGAAATGTGTGTTCTTTCCTTTTCTCCCTTCTTTTGCCCTTACTTAATCTTTTGACATTTCCCAGATAGACAATTGTAATGATTCATTGCTCTGCCTCCTAGACTGCAGCCTTATAAGTAGAGAATAGTATAGTTATAAATCAAAAACTTCCAAGTACTGTGATCACATTATTCTTGTTCATGTAGCTTGCCAATGAGTACAGTGCATTTTAATTTAGCTTGTAAGTTTTATCACCTGAAAAGGTTCTTCTTGATGAAACAATTGAAAAAGAAAGATGACCAGTCTCCCTGTGTATTTTTGGAAGCACTTACATCTTCAGTAGTGATGCCCAAGTGAATATATGCTTTTCTCTCCTATTTGAACTCAAGCCTAAAACTTACCTGGTGAGCCCTGTTTCTTCATCACATGTTCTTATTTAATATAAAGCACTATTTTTTACATATAATTATATATATAATAATTTGTATAATTTAAATATGTATTTGTAGTTACAAATGTATTTTATATTTGATTTTCTTAATTAGTCTTAAAAGGTTATTGTGGAAGTTGCCACAATGTAGCACCTGCATATATGGTAAATGTCTTAATATTTTATTTTCTGCATCGACTCAGGTACTGACCAGTTGCATTACTCAGTCATACCATTCTTCAGAATAAGATTTTCAACAGGATGTTTAGGTATGCTAAAGTTGAGATAAAACCACAGAGGTTCTCTAAATTCAGATTTTCTATAATAGAAATCACAGTCAGAAATCTACCATCTGGCTTTAAAAGGTAATTGCTTGACTGAATTCCATGTCAAATCGTTCGTCCTTTCCTTTGCCAAAACTTCCCATTTTTGTGCATAACCAATAGGAGCATTAAAAATTCAGCCCACATAAATTAATAATGTTTTACAAGGATGTGAAACCCAAGTTCATTCATTATTCTATTCTCAAATGACTTTATACTGAAACCTTAAAAAGAGAATGCATCCTGGATATAGTCATTGATATCATAAACTGGATGTGGTCCATGGCTTACATTGCAGACAATTCAGTGTTTTGCGTGATGAATTGGATATACCACATGGGAGTCTGCTGTATGACAGGAGATTAGGTAGTATTGTACTTAGAGATTTTTGGAACAGTTGAAAGAAATTCAATTCTTCACATCATTCAAGAGAGAAATTACCTTTTTAGCTTAATAGTGGAGACTGAAATAAAGATTGCCAGTTTTGGTTGGCAATTCAATCCATCTTACCGCTTTGAATATTTCTCTGCAAAGACATTCAAAAATGATTGCGTACATTTATGACTTAATTTGTTCATTCTTAGAATAATTGTGATTTGGGGAAACTTACTTGGCAAGGTGAATTCTGACTCATTTTCTTATACTAAAAATGGTTTCCAGAAAAGGAAGTGGTGGTCCAAACTATGTTCCCAAAATTGTGGTGCTTGATGACTGATTTCCAGAGTAGATTTCTGATTTTATTTAATTAATTAATTTTTTGAGACAGAGTCTTACTCTGCCACCCAGGCTGGAGTGCAGTGGCACGATCTTGGCTCACTGCAACCTCCGCCTCCCGGGTTCAGGCAATTCTCCTGCCTCAGCCTCCTGAGTAGCTGGGATTACAGGTGCCTGCCACCATACCTGGCTAATTTTTGTATTTTTAGTAGAAATGGGGTTTCACCATGTTGGTCAAGCTGGTCTCGAATTCCTGGCCTCAAGTGATCCACCCACCTCAGCCTCCCAAAGTGCTGGGATTACAGGCGTGAGCCACTATATCTGGCCTGATTTTCTGATTTTAAATCTTACAAAAATTTAATGGCACTATTTGTTCTGCCTTTCCATATTAATAGTCATAGTAGAAACAAGGAGACACAAATGGAAGCTATTTAACTGCCATTCAGTATGGTACCAGAACCTAAATATAACAATATTGGAATACCCAAATTCTGTATATATGTCTATATATATGTATGTGTGTATATATATGTATATATATGGAATAATTTCTTAAAAAATTATGCAAATATTTATGTTCAAAAGTAACCATTATGAACAATTTGGGGGGAATATGAAATTGAATAAAATACTCTTTGTTTTTCAAGGACTTGGCAGTAAAATTGTCCCGAACATCTGACATTTTACATCTTAGTAAAAAAGTATTAAAATTGTTTTGCTTTTGTTTTGTTTTGTTTTGAGAGGGAGTCTCGCTCTGTTACCCAGGCTGGAGTGCAGTGGCGTGATCTCGGCTCACTGTGTCCTTTGCCTCCCAGGTTCAAGCAATTCTCCTGCCTCAGCTTCCCAAGGAGCTGCGATTACAGGTGTGCACCCCCAGGCCTGGCTAATTTTTATATTTTTAGTAGAGACGTGGTTTCACCATGTTGGCCAGGCTGGTCTTGAATTCCTGACCTCAGGTGATCCACCTTCGTCGGTCTCCCAAAGTGCTAGGATATAGGCGTGAGCCACTGCACCCAGCCAAACATTTATTAAAATTATTATTTCAAATTCAAAGTAAAACTAAGAAAAATGTCATAATTAAATGTATTTCCCTTTATTTTCAAATTAAATATCTTCAATATTATACATGCCTATGTTGTATTAAAAGCTTATACTATCATTCAGTAAAAATAAAGCTTGATTCTATATCTAGCAGTTTTGTTGGTTTGTTTGGTTGTTTTAATTCTTAGGCTTTGTCTTTCTCTTTTCTATCCATCCTTAGTACTTGATTTTTGACTGTAGCTCTTTCATAAGTAGGCTAGTATTTGTTTTGTTTTGTTTTGTTTTTAACAAGTCACAGGGTCAAAGTCCTGCTGATAGATGGAATTATCATGAGACTAGACTAGACAGGTTTTTGAAGATAACTAATACTGGGAGTGGCATGATGTGTTTTTCTTAGGTTATTCAGGAGAAAATAGTGGCAGTTATTTCTGGTGTTGAGAGAAAACTGGAACTAAGAATTCAGCACTTTCTTTCCTTGACCCCTTCCATTTCATCCCCACCTCTAGACCCTGTCATTGGGAGAGACAAAGTGGTGGAAAAACATTTAGTTGAAGTCTGAGGAATCCAGTACTTTCAAAGCACATAATGCATAAGGCTCATGGAGCTGGAGCCCTTTCTCAGAGACTGTAAGATTTAAAATGGGAACTATAAAGAAGTAATACCTGGGCCAGAATATCCAGGAAAAGTTTTAGAGTAATGGGAGAAGTGGGACTTGTAAAGTTGTATATTTGGATATATTATTAAGTTACGCTAATATCAGTGTGGAATGGATGCAAGAATATGTAGATTAATGGATAGAATCAGAAGCATAAAAACAGGTTTTATCAGAAGATACTAGAATAAGGTAATGGTTTAATTTCACATTACTGGAGAAAGGTAGAAATATTCTTTAAATAGCCCCAGGACTATTGCTTAATGGGGGAGTGAGAGCAATAAATTCCCATTCTTACTCTGTATACCAAAAGAAATATAAAATGATTAATAGGTTTAAAGACATGTAAAATAAACAGTAGAAAACGTAGGTGAACATCTCATTCTTAGATGAGAAATGACCTGTTAAGGCCAAAAGGTAAAACCAGAATTGCTACATCTATTACATGAAAATTTAAAATTTCAGTATGCCAGAAAACATAAATAGAAAAAATACAGTGGGAACATTTTAGAACATTAATATTTGATAAAAATTTAATATCCTGGTTCGTGACCAGCCTGGCCAATATGGCAAAACCCCATCTCTACTAAAAATACAAAAAATTAGCCAGGTGTGGTGGTGGGTGCCTGCAATTCCAGCTACTTGGGAGGCTGAGGCAGGAGAACCGTTTGAATCCAGGAGGCAGAGGTTGCAGTGAGCCAAGATCACGCTATTACACTCCAGCCTGGGCAACAAGAGCGAAACTCCGCCTCAAAAAAAAAAAATTAAAATCCTGGGTGTATAGAGAGCCCTTACAGTTTAGAAACACCAAGCTGTTTTCCAAATTTCACTTGGTTCCTAATTCTATACAGAAGGTCACTTCATTCAAATACCTCAATATACATTACATAAATAATTTAACTTGGAAGAACGTCTGGAAACCACAGTACTCAAAGTTAGGCTTCCTATGGATGCTTTTTGGGAATTGATGGGTGGAGAAAGATTTTTTAATGGCCACTGTATTTAGTTACGCCTTCCTTAAACATTTTCCAGACTAAAATTAGTTAAGACTAGGTTATTGAACAGAACATTGGAACCTAAATGGCCCATCTCTCTGTGCAAGAGCACAGATTCAATTTTTTTTTTTTTTTCCTAAGGAGAACCTTGGTCAAACTCTAGGGTATTCCCTCAGAAACTGCTGATTATTAAACTCAAGTTTGCCTAAAAGATGTCACTCCTACACCAGCTCAATGTCTCATTAACACTGTTTTTCTTAGAACCCTAGGGTGGCTGAACTTCAGTAATGAGCCCTCAGCTAGCTAATATCTCTCTTCTGTGGGTTTGACTATGGTTAACAGTATTTATAAAGGAATATTAGGGATTTGCTTTTTATCACTTCCTCAGATACTTTAGAATGTGCCTGAGAATTAAGTCTGGCAAGCACTTAGCAAAGACCACCTGGACAGTAACTTCCTGACTTACCCCTAGTATTTCTCTTGAGTTTGAAGCCATTGGTTAGCATTGCAGGACATTCTATAAACAATTCTATGAAACTCATCATTGTGTCAACTGTAGGAATGTTGACTACATTACACAGTG